ACCACAAATTTTACCGCGTGACTTCTTTCTGCAACATTGTACGCAACAAATTTTATCGTGTGTCTACCCCCGGGTGTCTACCTTTCACAACATTACATTGAGCGCAACGAATTATATCATTTGGCTTCCTTCTGCCACATTGCGCATCAAATAATATCCTGTCAGCCTTTTGCAACATTGCGAGCAACAGCTTACAATGTGTGTCTTGCACATTTGCGCGCAAGAAATGTTATCGTCTGTCTTCTTTCGGCAACGTTCAACCTCCTGCCATTTTAATTTCACACCAAGAGCCACATAAGTTTTAACCTGTGGCCCCAAATTTCGTCAGTCGTACACTTTGCAGCTGCTGTGTTCTGTAGGACCTTCTTCTCCTCTCTTTCGATTATGCTCCAGTTCCCTAATCACAGATCACTATAGTGCATTGATTTTATTGCCTGCCTGCTGTGGTTTTCTTTTTCCTTTAGATAGTTAATTTGCGAAGCACGCATATAGCCCGTCAATGTTGATCTTTCGACCAATCAAAACGAACCTGGGCCTTGTACAGGATTAGGTTAAATTTCCCGTAGTCGGGTTGTGGGTGTTGTGGTGTTGTGTTCACCGTGTTCACTTCCCTTAGGATCATGTCAGTTTACCATCACTTGACAATGTCAAATTTACACCGAGAATCTATTTTCCTCGGCGTATGTTTAATTTCAAATGCCGGTCAAACTGAATTTTCAAGCATCACGACTTCATCGACGCACCACACATGACTGTGGAAAAGGCAGGACTCTCATGGCCGGACTTACTATACATTAAAGCCAACCATGGTTCCTCAAAACAGTAATTTCTCTGTCAATATCAAAGTAAACGTGTTCTGATTTCCACCCCTACGAAACATACATGCATACAACACCAGATAGTTTTCAGTATCCAGATAGACTGGATGACTGGGTCAACTGTATGTCAAAATCGAGAGTGAGCTTTCTAGTTGTTTTAGTACAATTTTACTAGTATTGTATTACAATTACTTTCTGGTGACTTTTAACAAGTACCGTATTTATTCGATTAACCGCCCTGGGCGCTTATTAAATTTTTCGACCTTGAGAGTGGGCGCTTATTCGAGGTGGGCGCTCATTCGAGGCTGGGCACTTATTAAATTTTCACCATTTTCAGCAAGTGAAGTATGTTTATTTTGCAACAAAATAATAAATGCTACTAACAAAACGCGAAGAAGTAACAAAGCAAGGTTTCTGTAAAATACTCTGAAGAAACTCCGTCCTCAAGGAAGTCTCTTATTGGAACTTATTCACTTAATTGGGTGGGGTGGGGGTGAGTGCTTATTTGAGTTTGATTGGGGGAGGAGGGGGTGGGCGATTATTCGAGGCCGGACGCATATTATCTTTTTCTGCCTTTAGGATGGACGCTTATTCGAGGTGGGCGCTAATTCGAGGTTGGGCGCTTATTCGAATAAATACGGTATGTAATTGTGAAAAAGCAAGTTATAAAGTGGTAAATCGGGACTTAGATCAGGTCTCAGTTTTCTAAAGGTGGATAAACCTATTGATACTTTTGTATGGATTAATCTCTATCCATTGGATAGCGAAATTGGGTGCCCCTAATACTTACCCAGCGTTTGAGCAACCGGGCCCAGTAGCACAACTTTGTTGTATTTGATATGTATACGATTCTTTAATTGTAAAATAAATTGTATAAAGATAATTAAAACCCACTTCAGGATCATAATTATTAGGCTTATTTGCAATTTCGTCTCATTCGACAGAATTGCTCTCGTTAGAAACAACCATCGATAAAAGGTTATTGCGGTCCCCTATCCTTGTTAAATTTAAAGCTCATATCTTGATCAAGAAAACAATAAATTTCTGTTCTGGAGTAGAAACCTGTAAACATTGTACATCAAACACAACCTCTTTAATGTCTTTACTGTCAAATACTGAGGATTCGAACATAGTATCCGCGATATTTACGCGGGAAATATGTCAAAGATAGATGGCGCCCTTAAAAGGCGTGGTCTGTCCCTAGGATGATATAGACAAGTTCTCTTCGAACAAAACGTCATACGCGAACTAGTAACTTACTGCTTTGCAAGGTTTCAAAGTCATTCTAGCAACTAGTGTCAAAAGCCTCCGATTTTTGACTAATTTTCGAATAAAAATTTGTGTCTATTTCTAACATAAATACAAATTTAACTGAAACGTATATAGAAAAAAATTACGGAAAACAAAGGCTTATCATATTACAATGTGTAAAACTAGCGAAGAAATATTTAACTTAACACGGTTTGCAGTTGATGAACAGAAAAAACACAACTGGACTTCGACGCATAAGATTTACGTTATCAAATGGATCATGCTTCGCGCAAAGTACTGCTTTGAAATTTAGCTGCAGATTGAGAGGTTAACAATAAAGTGTTTCGTTTCAACGATTTAAATGCAGATTGCGGAAAAGTTGTGTTGGAATGAGATAAAAATGATGGATTCTGAAAAACTGCCCACCTACCCCTCCCATAAGCCATCATTATGCCCCAAGTGAGAAGTAAGTGTTAACGTTAGCTTAGGAGAGGGGTGGTGGGCAGTTTCCCATAAACCTAAGTTGATTCAAAATGGTGATACATATGCTACCAGTTTAGAAAAGTAATTCAAGAACGGCAAACCAACTTAAATGAGACCTTTAGATTCTAAGACGAAAACGACTCAGTACTAAATAATGCGCACGCGTGAACCAGCGTCATTTTTGCGGGAAAACGTGATAGTCGTCGTCATTCTACTAAGGGTTTTAACAAAAATATCGTAGTAGCAGAAATATGTTATCAACTGTTAGAAGATCAATCATAACTATAACAAAATTGTCTAATCCGATTGGCTATCAACTGCCCTGATTTCAGCCTTAATTGGACAGTTTAATAGGACAGTACGCGTCATGCCTAAGTAATTGGACAGTACTCGCCATCACGCGCGAGCTTAAATGGCTTTTTTTTTTTCACTGCTAGCAAAATAAAATTTCGAATTTCTTGTGTTTTGATTTACAAAATGGCCTATTATATCACAAATTTTGTTAAAGTTATGATTAATTGGTAACATAACTTCGTGTTGTCCAATTCGGTCTGCAATCATACTCGTGATTAAACAAATCGGACTCCCGCTACACGGTCGTCCGATTTTGTTAATCACTCGTGTGATTACAGACCGAATTGGACTCCACTCAGTCCTGTTACCATTACTTATCATTATGCGATAGGGAGAAGGCTTAATCTCCTTCAATTAAGATAACCGTACTAACTTTTCTGCTGAAAAAAGGACAGTGAGGCTTTCCGGGGTGCACCTGTCCGCAAAACCAAGAAACTACCATTTTTTTAGAATATGCGAAAAAACTTTGAAGTTAAATCTCGTCCTCGTTGTCGAATCTAAAGGTGTCTGCAATGAATGACAGTGCGTTATACGTAATAATGGTGGGCGACAGAGTGACTACTCGGAGAATAAGAAAAAAAACTCTTGCTGCTGTTCTGATAATTGTGATATGAGGGGTCAACGGGATTCCAAGATGGCGGTCCGAGGGGCGTGGTCGGTCCTTGCACGTTGTTGGGACGATAATGGGGAGGGCCAAATCTTCTGTCAAATGCATCACTCTGAAAATAAGGAATGTTTCCGTTGTCGTATCTGTGCACTCTACCTGCTGGAAAAAGATATTATATTAAAAACTGAGTTTCGGCATGAGGTGGCCTCGTGGCACTATTTCCGTTTGTTTTATCATTCTGAAGCGATCGATTTATTTTAGTATCCACTTAAATTGAAATGTGATTATCATATTATTGTTATTATAAATCGCCTTTGATAGAATGGTATCATAAACTCATTCACATTGGTTTACAAAAATAAACATCCACAAGGAAAAAAGAATGTGGATATTGCTGAAAGCAACATGCCTTGAAACTTCGTTAAATCTGTTTTTGATCCTACGATTAGGTTAATGAAAGTTTAGCTACAGGAGTGATCTTATCCCCAGCTGTTCTGTGTTGGTAACTTCAAGTTAAGCGTTTGCTGGTGTAGAACTTTTTTTTGTCCAAATCATTTTATTCCCACCCCGTAAGAATCGAATGCATATATCATTTTCTTTCCCAAGCGTGCCTACTGAACAAAGTTGAACAGAAAATCGAACTTCCTTTCGTAAAACTCTGAAAAACAAATACCACCTTGCGGAAATGAATTTTTTTGGGAAAATACAGAAGAGCGAATAATGATATGTGAAAGTACTGCTGAAAAGATATTGTTTGAATGGGGACACCATAGGATTTCGTCGACAGACTCAAAAGTTGGAACTACGTAGTAATAAATAGCACCATGTGAAAGTACTGCTGAAGAGGTTTCATTTGAATGGTAGCACCATAGGATTTCATCCACAGACTCAAAAATTAGAAGTACATACAAAATAAATAGCTCCAGGTTTCATTTGAATGGTAACACCATAGGATTTCATTCACAGACTCAAAAGTTAGAACTACATACTAGATAAATAGCACCATTTGAAAGTACTGCTGAAGAGGTTTCATTTGAATGGTAGCACCATAGGATTTCGTCTACAGACTCTAAAGTTAGAACGACGTACTAAATAAATAGTACCATGTGAAAGTACTGCTGAAGAGGTTTCATTTGAATGGTAACACCATAGGATTTCATCCACAGACTCAAAAGTTAGAACAACATACTAAATAAATAGTACCATGTGAAAGTACTGCTGAAGAGGTTTCATTTAAATGGTAACACCATAGGATTTCGTCCACAGACTCAAAAGTTAGAACTACATACAAAATAAATAGTGCCATGTGAAAGTACTGCTAAAATCAATTAAAGAGGTATCATTTTGGTGCTCACACCGTAGGATTTCTTCCTTGAACTCGAAAGTTACATCTCCATAAGATGAGGTCTTAGATGTTCTGGGAGTGAACGGGTTATTTAAGCCGTTTGCAAAGGAGATAATTCAATTATTTCCTTAGAAGTTGATAATTACTTTTTACCCTTGGATATCATACCTTGAAACGCAGTTGTAGGGCCACCAAACATCTGATAGCCAAATTTATCGTCATTCCGAACTTCATCTTCCACCTGCAGTAGCCTATCGATGGAAAATCTGTTCAGATCTATATTTCCCTTGCTTTGGGTCAATACGTCTGGGCTGGGGCTGATATCGAAGTTCTTTTTTTCGTTTTGTGTCGTGTGTTTAACGTTGAATCCCTCTGTGACGTCATATGGCTCAACCTTTCCTTTTGGTCGAGGCTGGCGTTTTCTTCTGCGCCTAAAATTCCCGTCTTCTTTAATGTACTCTTCCAATAAATCCACCAAAACTGTCCAGTAATTGTCCTTGCCCCATGGACGCGATGGATCCTTCAGTATTTTCACGAAGCACTTGTTAAATGAGAGGTTATGCCGCACCGAGTTTTTCCAGCCCTGATAACTTCCTCGAAAGAACTCGTAATTATCCACGAGGTACTTGTTTATTTCGGTCAACGTGAGCTTTTTACGAGGAGAGCTGAGTATCGCTGTTGATATAAGTGCAATGTAAGAAAGTGGAGGCTTTGGTTGAGCTGTCTGCCGGCTGGATCTTCTTGTCTTCACTGATTGCTCATTCATCTCTTCAATCCGGTGTTTTAAGAGGGATTATGCGACACCTCTTCAAAAAACTCTTAAGATTATAACTGTGTACACTCTCGTAGCTAAATGCAAAGTTAAGCGGATCACTGGCAAATAGCTTGTTTATAGTACAGTTACACACAATACACAAATGATGCTCTTACGCTTCTTGTGTCATTGCAAAAACACAGGAAACTGTCAGCCACTAAATTAACCCCGACCACCACCCACAAAGGTTAATTGAAAACATGCTGAGTTTGCACGCTTCTTGTGTTTAGAAGAAATACCGAAAGTGTCTGAGTGAAATTCCACACCTTTTAAGCTTCTTAATTCGTCCACTAATCACTGTAATTACATAGCCTAAGCTTTCTAATCCTTTGGGTTAATTTGTTCTAAAGCTGTGGCCTTGTCCTTCCTCCTACCACATTTTCCATTTTTCTTACCTGTAAGATCTTCATGAGGACTGGAAATCCTTAAAAAGGCACTGCCTTCTATCACGGACCTTTCCTTTGAAAGTTGACAGATGAAGTAGGAAGGGGTTTTGCCAAATCATTTATCATCTTGATTGAAGGTGTAAAAGCTTTCATGAGTAATTTTTAAATCAATTAACCCGTTTATCCCCAGCAGGGTTGAAAGTCTGACTTTCTTATATTTGCACTTTTTTTATCCAAAATAAATTTGCGCCCCTGTAACACAGATCACAGACTTTTTATAGATCAATTTCTTTTGTGTAAAAATATAAAATTGTAATGCGCAGAGTACAGAAAATCTTCCTTAATGTGCACTGGTCAGTCTTATTTTGTGGTTCTACTTTCTGCGCCCGGGCGGCCGGTTTCTGTGTAGTATCTACCCTTCTTTTATAGCTTTGGATCTCTACACACTATGCACATAATGACCAAAAAAACTTTCTTTAGTTTCCGATCCGAAAAATCGCGACTCTTAGGGCACAGCAATCTTTTGTCCTGTAGTAGAAGAAATTAAAGCAGGTTTATTTCCGCTCCTTGTTAATTACACTCTAAAATAAATCGATTATCTTTATCGAGTTATCGCCGGCAAGATGTATGCCCCACACCTCTTTTGACATTTAGCTCTAAAAGTCTCCATCGCCACGCCCAGCAGAAGAAATTGACGATAACGCATCCCGGACGGAAATCTCTCTTAGTTATTCTTGCCGCTTGATACTTCGTAGTGTTTCTGAAAAGCTCGAAAGCATTTTCGACCAAACAGGTCCCTGTTGTGTACTCGTGGTAAATTTTATGCATTGCCCAAGGCAGAACAATACAATGTAAATAAAACAAAACACCGTCAACATCATGGAACGACCTACAATTGTAGCTAGTTGCAGATGTTCAGAATGAGAGAAGCATTACGAAATGGAGAGTGAAACAAAAAAAGAATGAAAGAAAGAAAGGAAGATTGGAGGGGACAGGATAAGGTTAGGAAAGACCATCAGTTAGGGCGTCTAACGTCGCTCGCTCTAACCAATTCCTCTCTCTTCTGACCAAGCGACCGTTGACCGTTTAAGACTCATGCAACCCTGACATATTTTGTGAAGAAATGAGCTTCAATCAATTTATCACAATATCGTTCTAAAAAAAAACAGAGGAGAACCTCTGGAAGTAGTAAATCTCCCCGTTAGAGTACAACAGCATCAAACTACATATAACATCTCTCTTCATATAAATAATTGAACTGCCGGCGTTATCAACTAACTTTCCTCCTCCATGCCTTTTTTTCTCGCCCAATTAAAGAAAATTATTGTAGTTGCTCTCTTGGCAATAATTTGTTTTCCTATACAAAGTTACACTTACTATCATGTCAACTACTTCGGGTCAATTATTTTAAGGAGAGTACTTCCTTAACTTCCGTTATACACTTTATTAGTTTCGAGGTTTAACCTAACGACCTCTTCTGGTGTTTAAAGAACTTGCATGCTTCTTCTTTTTTTTTTTTTTTGAAGAGTAATACTTGTAAACAAGGTGTGATTATTTTTTTACTACAGATATATAAGACTTTATCAAGTACGAGGTAAATCTCGCAACTTGTTGTTGGAGGTGACAAAAAAGATAAAGTTAAAACGGCATCATTTCAATGCAGTCACTCTTTCTTTAGAGGGAGCTAAAATAAGCAATTAAGGATCAGTCTTTGCAAGATATGTCTGCGTTACAAACTTTTTTATGTATAAGACTATTGTTGTTCCGCCCCAGGCTGAATAACTTTTTTGTCCCCCTTTTTTAAAATAGTTTGGAAATATCCTTGTGAATATTAAAGATTATAGCGAATGACATTTCCGTTTCAGGATGTCTTGGGTTGACATTCGGCAAGTGCAGGCCGTTTATGGTTTCATTGAATAGAAATAGAAAGAACAAATTTTATACGTTGTATAGTTAAAAACATTTAACTCTATTGTATTTATAGAGTTTCAGCTTACAAAATAATGTCCTCTTTAAAATCTCATCTTAGAGTTTATTTTTGAAATATTCTTGAGCTTTCAGCTTCAAGGGGCGGGTGACTTGTATGACTATCTAAATAAACTCTTATTTAAAAAAGAGTGTATTGAGAGTCAAAGAAACCGCGAAAAGAGGAACAACGTGGCACTCCACGTTTATAAAATGAGGGCAACACTTACCAATGTCAGATTTTGCATCTTGTACTCGGAAAGCTTACTCTCGGCTTCTTCTCGCAAAATCCCAAACACATGTAGATCACTAAAAAGCGTTGATTTTGTTCATCCCTGCAGGACATTTACCGCTGAACCGCGGAAGCGTACTTTGGTCTGGGTGTGGTCAGATTCTGGAATGTAACAATGCCTAACTTTACTGCTGGTCTTTAAATTACATCTTTTAGAACCAATAGCTAGGAGAAGACAGCAACAGTAGAAACAAAATCATTTGAAATGGTCTTTTTACCATCTTTTTGTTTTGTTACAGCGGGTTTTTATATTAAAGTGAGCAGCATAACAGACCACCCATAAAATGTACATGTCGTACATGGGATTTCCGCTTCCGTAAACACTTTTCATAATCTCGAAGAAAACTAAAAAAGGCTTTAATTCTTTACAAATCACTATGTAAGAATATTATCGTACAAGCTATCTTAGATAAAAAGGAAATTAGAACATGTTTTTCAAAAACCCAAAGTTACAAATCTTTACTATCTTGGCTAACTATTCAAGTCGGAAAGATGTCCTATCCAACTACTAATGGAGCGTTTTTGCAAAAGAGATGAAAATAAAAGACAGGAAGTCTAGTTATTTCTGATTTGAACGGAAAAAAAATACATTGAAACTTTGTGGCTCTTATGGATTAGGCACCCTTTGCCATTTAGAGTGCTATTCAGGTTGTTGATAATGATGATGATTATGAGTACTAAAAAATTTAGACTACGGACAAACAAACACTAAGAAACACTCCTAGTCATGTGTGTATCAGTAAAAATAACCGTTAAAACACTTGTGGTTAAGTATGTATGAAAATTATCGTAAACAGACCGCGAATGCGACCTTTACGAGATATATAAGCGGTCGATAGCATGAAACTTTTACTACATGGCAGACTACCATTGTAAATAGTTTTTAATATCACGTCTGATTTTAACTACTTGATTTTCTTTATAGTTTTGTTGCCGGAGCTAAAGGGTTTACGTAAATGGCAAGAAACTTGTAAACTTGAACTGTAACGAATGCATTGTTTACGGCTCTAAAACGAATTTTTGAACGGTTTCTAAACTGACCACATATGCGCCAATAAATAAAAAAGAAATATTAATTTTCTAGGCACTGCATCAGTATAGCGCTAAGAGGATAAGCTTTTGAAACTTGACTTGGAGGTAAAGCTTGTCATCTCGTCCGGTAAGACTCCGTAAATTGGCGAAGTAAGAAAATATTTACGGTAACTCTTAAGGCCTATGTGAGGTTGTTTGGTATACAAAGGCGGTAAAAGTAGTATTTGCATAATATTCTGACCAAAAGGCGAATTATAACTCTGTCTGTGGTCAGAATCCTTGTACAAATAACGTCACTTTTTACCTCTGTCTTTAAATCTGCACCCGTAGGAACGCTGTCGGTTCAACATTAGTTCATGAAGAGATCACTGATTACCCAAAATATTGAAGACTGATGTTAGCCTTATATTCGTAGCCTGGGACCAGGCTCCGTATCGGGGAAAAAGGGAAAAAAATCGGGCGAGCGAAGCGTACGGCTGGGCTCGCTTCGCTCGCCGATATTTTTCCTACTTGAGCCCGTTTTTTGCCTTTATGCTTAGTAAAGAAGTCAGGGACCAACTCTAAGTGTCCGTTCTATGTGAGGTGACCGGTAATAGAGAGTTGACAATGCTGCGATTGTGTAAAAGATGTCGTTCGGCTATTCTACTTAACTCTATAACTTGCAGCATATTTCGAACCCAAAACTCTCTTCAGACAGCAATCTGATCACATTTCATAATAGGATTATTAGGAAGTCGTTTGACTTTTTACAAAGTGCAGCGAATGTCCGGCTTGTTTCTAAGCAACAGTGAGCACTGGGTATATCGACCCTGTTTAACTTCCTTCTACACCGTAACCGGCGTACCGTAAATTCTTCACGCGTTGTTATTTTCAACCTTAGGAAACAGCTCAGGAACTTTTGACGTAATAATTTGCTAACACATCCGTTCTTAAGATTGTGGCTTAACACTCTTCCTCCCAGATATCGCCGCCTAATTTTTTTGTGTTTTGCACGGAGGCGTTTATTAGGTAAAAGTGGGACCACTTTATTGACTCTCTAGTACCATTACTTGTCAGCTTACTGTCGATGTAACCTTTGTTAATGTTTTTTACCTATACACTATTGTATTCTTGCTTAAGGCGAAGTTGAATGAATGAGATAAATAAATCAAGGAAAAATTACAGTAAAAACACGAAAAAGACTAAGACAAAAGAGTATTGTGGGGGTGTTGTAATGATCGGAAAAAGAGGGAAATTGTTTCCATTGATCTCTCCAGCCTTCCTTGTGAGCTTTATCT